GTTTTAATTTCGTCATTTTCGTTATTTGGCTGGAGTCAGTATTTCTCAGCTTTTAGAAGGTTTCTATTGTAAACTCCTCCATTTGAATAACTACTTCAAGTGATTACATTCCATTGCAGTGGTCCTACACAAAGCTTACTTGTAAGAATTTTTAAGGCCAGGCACGGTGGCTCATGCCTGTAATCCCAGCTCTTTGGGAGGCTGAGGCAGGCAGATCACTAGAGGTCAGGAGGTCAAGACCAGCCTGACCAACATAGTGAAACCCCGTCTCTACTAAAAATACAAAAACTAACTGGGCATAGTGGCATTCGCCTGTAATCCCAGCTACCTGGGAGGCTGAGGCAGAGAATCACTTGAACCTGTGAGGTGGAGGTTATAGTGAGCTGAGATGGCACCACTGCACTCCATTCAGCCTGGGTGACAGAGTAAGACTCTGTCTCAAAATAAATACATAAATAAAATAATAATAACAAATGCAAGCTTTTCTAGTTTTATTCCATTCAGAGCTAATTATACTTGTAAATAATGGTGCTAATCCAACAGTTCTACCTTTATGTCACTAATATGTCCAAATTGCACTTGTGGTAAAGCAATTGCTGAAGTTTGCAACGTCTGTGCATTTCTTAAGTTGCAATGAAAAATAGTTTACTAGATTTATTTGTTCTCTAAGTTTGTCTCCATATTGTCAACCAGTGCTGAGTACATTGCACTATGTGGTCGACCAGTGCTGAATACATGGCAAAGATTCATTGGAAATCTCTGATGCAGTCTGTGACTCTTGTTTGTCAATTAACTATACTTTTTTAGTCTTAGCAATACAAAGTGCTGTTGGCTACAGCCAACAGATGAAATATTGACACTTTTCAGGTTCTTGTAATACTTTCAAGCATTTTTTAGTTTGAACTTCTTTATGGTTTACATAAATGGCATTTAAAAGGTGATGTTTGTTGCTTCATTAGACATACATATTCAGAAATAACATACTTTGGTTTTAGCACCTCAAAACTCAAACTCAATACGTAAAAGACTAGTAGAAATTCTTGGTTTCTTATTTCTTTGGAATAACATCATTATTATTTGCTTCATTACTTTTTCACATTCATGCAAGTTAAACATTTTTACCTTCATAATTTTATGTGATTCACAGTAAATACTTGTCAAATTTACATTTATTACTACATTTCTCAAATTAACTCCTTTTCACATTCCTGCTTCTTGATTATTGTTTTTTCTTGACCAAGAAAGGTCTAGTAAAGTTTATTTTGTCATCATCAAATTAGAATAAAATGACAATTTTTTACTTTGCTGGTTTAGCTAATTATGTTAAAAGTGGGTTAAAAAACAGACTTGATGTAAATTAGAATAATTGCAAAATAACATGTAAAAATTAAATGCTTACATTTTCTCAGATATTTTGTAGTTTGTGTTGGAGTTGGAAAACAAATCTTAAAATAATGCACAATGCAATGTGGCCCTGTTGTACATGCAATAACAATAATAATAGCAATAATACTAAATTCTTTTGTTGATAGCTCCAAGCTTTGGGATGTACTGGGAATTTGATGAAGAATATCTTTAGAAAAGAACTAATATTTTCCTGAAAGTTGATGACAATTTCAGATTCTCTATTTTTATTTTTAGAGGGAGGGATTATTTTGAAACTTTTTATTTGTTTATTTACTTTACTGAGGATTTAATCCCAACATCTCTATGCAAAATATTTCTGGAGGCATTAATTTTTTTTCTTTTTGGAAATTTGAAGTTGTTTGGCTATTTTTTCCCATTACTCTTAATCAAAAGCAATCCTAAGTAATAAAATATATTAGAGGGCACAAATTGTCTCTCTTGTATATCACAACACTACTCAAATAGTGGTTTACAAACTTGTGTTGGTTAAATACTTTTACCAGTACTGCTAAAATAAGCCAGAAATTTAGAGTAAGCATTTAGAAACTTACATTTTTGATGTTTTTATCCCATCCCACTGGAGAAGTTTCTTTAACAAGGCATTGTGGAACTTACATGTTGAGCAGAAAGTGCAAATATCTACCACTATTAGCAGCAGATGTGAGGAATCATTGGACAATAAGTTCAGTGATTAAAAGATAATATATGAAATAGTTTCTAACTTCTTGAAAATCAAAAAATGTGATTAATTATAACCAACTCTGTGAAATATCTCAGGAAATAGCCAAAAGCTACAGGTCAATTTGCCTAACATAATGTACATGAAAACGAGTTTTAGCCTTCAATTTCCCTTCAATTTCTTTTTTTCTTTCTTGATGGCATGTATTTTTTTCTTTTCCATTCATTTGACATTAAACTCTTTAAACTAATTTATCTAAGAGTATGTCTAACACAAATTTATATTTCTAGATATTTCTGATATATGCAATGTTTTGTGTTTTTATTATACTTTAAGTTTTGGGATACATGTGCAGAACATGCAGGTTTGTTAACATAGGTATATACATGCCATGGTGATTTGCTGCACCCATCAACCCATCATCTACATTAGGTCTTTCTCCTAATGCTATCCCCTCCTTGCCCCCCACCCCGTGACTGACCTTGGTGTGTGATGTTCCCCTCCCTGTATCCATGTGTTTTCAGTGTTCAACTCCCATTTATGAGTGAGAACATGCGGTGTTTGATTCTGTTCCTGTGTTAGTTTGCTGAGAATGATGGTTTCCAGCTTCATTCATGTCCCTGCAAAGGACATGAACTTATCCTTTTTATGTCTGCATGGTATTCCATGGTGTATATGTGTCACATTTTCTTTATCCAATCTATCATTGATAGGCATTTGGGTCGGTTACAAGTCTTTGCTATTGTGAATAGTGCTACAATAAACATACGTGTGCATGTGTCTTTTTAGTAGAATGATTTATAATCCTTTGGGTATATACTCAGTAATGGGATGGCTGGGTCCAATGGTATTTCTGGTTCTAAATCCTTGAGGAATCGCCACACTGTCTTCCACAATGGTTGAGCTAATTTACACTTCCACCAACAGTGTAAAAGCATTCTTATTTCTCCACATCCTCTCCAGCATCTGTTGTTTCCTGACTTTTTAATGATCACCATTCTAACTGGCATGAGATGGTATCTCATTGGGGTTTTGATTTGCATTTCTCTAATGACCGCGATGATGAGCTTTTTTTCATATGTTTGTTGGCCTCATATATGTCTTCTTTTGAGAAGTATCTGTTCATAGCTTTTGATGTTTTAGTCATGAAGTCTTTGGTGGGCTTGCTTTTATAGCCTCATAAGTTTCTTTTGGTCTTCTTTTGAAGATGTTTTCTTTTCCTTAAAAGAAACATCTTACCTTCATAATTTTTTATAATTTATCTTTAGTTAAACACCTTACCTTCATAATTTTTTATAATTCACAATAAGCACTTGTCAAATTTGCAAAATTTGTTACTAGATTTATCAAATTATCTCCCTTTGCAATTCCTACTTATTGAGTATTATTCTTTTAGGCTGCATGTGCTTAGCTGTACCTTATGATGCATTTTTATTGATAATATGAATTTGTTATTTTCCTGAGTGCATTTTAAGGTAGAAATGCCCAGTGTGATTTTGTTAGCTGTTAAAGAAAAATAAATGTCTGAAAATATTAATCCTGCTTGGGAATAACTTTTGTTTTACATTAGTTAGACCCAGTCTGGATGGCACTCCTGTATATAGCTCAGCACAGCTGCTGACTTAAAAAAAAACCCATTTGTTTTATATTCTGATGAATGTGGATTATTAGAAGCAGATCTTGCTATATACCAATAGCAATAGACAATGACATTTTGTGTCTATGACCCATCTTTTGCTGGATATTTTCCCATTGCCGCTCAGATCTGCTTCCCATTCTTCTTCACTTCGCCCCTGTACTTTCTGGCTTCTAGTTTGGTTTGGCAAATGGGTAGCACAGGCAGATGACTAAAGTGGAGCATGCAAGGAGACTGAGATTGGAGTTTCTATCCTCCAGGCTCCCTCTTAGAGGGCAACCACAGTTTGACTGCATTTCTCTCTTAAAGGCCAAAGCTTTTTATTAAGCACATCTCCTCAATAGTTATTCTGTCTTGGTCTATCTTCCTCTTCAGCCCTAAGAGTGATAACAGTTTATTTTGTTCTGTCCCTGAGAACACAACCATCTTGTTTTATAGCTCTGCCCATGTCTTTGGAAAGAATTCCTTCATTCAGGTACCCTATTTGAGTGTGCCCTGCATTTCCTACCAAAACTTTGACTGATCTAATGATCAATTTTTAAATGTAGCTATTTAAAAAATGAAAGACAAAAAATGCAGTATAGATATGGCTACCCATGTCATTACTTCATTTTGCTGACTAAAACTCCACTAAACACAAATGGGATGTCTTAGTTTTGGTTATGCACTCATAGAATATACTCAGATATGAATCAAAAGGAAAAAATTTCTGGGTGTAAAAAACAAGCAGAGAAAGCACTAACTATCTAAATGACAAAAAGACAGGAGACATGAAAAGGAGTTTACAAGAAACTTTAAAGAACAGACAACAGTGATATGATCACAAGTGATTACATAAAGTTTCCTATATACTAGGCTCATACTAAGCAATTTACATGTATTGAACTATTTATTTCTCACAGAAACTCTATGAGGAAATACTATTCTCATTTTACAAGTGAGGAAACTGCGGCACAGAGCACTTAGTCTGGTTGTATAGCCTATTCTCTTAGCTACCGTGCCATGCTGCTCTTTCAATGATTTTGCTGATGAAACTGCTAAAGTATAATAAAGACTAGATATATAGATGGATACACTTGTAATAGTAACTTTTTGTCCTTATTTCCATAATATCCTTATAGTTTACTTATTTATTTAAATTCTTCCTTAGTATAGAATTATTCTTAAGCCTAACTTTAGTTCTTGCTATTCTTTTCCAAAAATAATGAATTTGCATAACATATTATTTGCTACTATGAGTACATTTGTATGCTAACATACATTTAATATTCCTTTTAGAATTTATGATTGGTGAATATGCCTGTTAACAAATCACCTATGATTAATACATATGGAGGCATATCTTCCCCTTATCATGAAGAGCTCTGGAAATTAAATTTTCAACATTTAAGTGGAGAAAGGAGTCATAAATCAAGGTAAGCTAGAAAATAATTATAGGACCCATATGTATTGTAGAGAATTTAGAAAATATGGAAAACTGTGAAAAATAAAAATTCACCCATAGTTCTCTAACCAAAGATTAAAATTTTAAAGTTTATTGTTTTTTAATAGCCTTGTTTATTACAATTATATGCTTTCTAAAATTTTGAATTCTATACTTTTTGTTTGAAATAATTATCTATACTCATATGTTTTCTTAATTTGTCATAATAATGCATAGATTTCATGAGAAAATAGTTGATAACTCCTATATCATGAAGCATTCTATTTAGGTCTAAGATCTTTGATATTTCAAATTTAGACAAAATAGAATGTTTTTCTATTTTGAAATATTTCAAATTATTTCCTTGGGATAAAGTTTCTACAACGAGTGCAAGAGCAATTTGAAAGAACTGTCACAAAGACTTTACAGTCACAAATAATGTACTTTTTCTAGTTGTTTTCTGTGGTATCCTTGTCCCAATACCATAGTGATCCATACTGTAAAAAAAGTGGCAGGAAAAGTTGTTGTCCACCTAGAATCCTACAGAGAAGAAAATAAAATTCAAAGTGTATCATTAAAAAACTGAATGGTTTTGCTATTAGTCATATAAACATAATATACTGAAGAAATATGTAAAACTGGTCAGTGCGTCTAAATGGTGAAGGATGCTACAAATAAAAAGCAACAGAACCTAAATATACAAACCGTGACTAGATCATTCTGTTACTAATAGGATATAGATAAACAGCGGAAAAATAATTTGTATTAAAATGTTCAGAGTAGTTTTAATTAATTTAAAAATTGAAAATAGCAAATGCTTTATAATGGAATGATCAAGTCAATTAAATATATCTGAATAGTAGAATACAATAGAAATGTTTATAAGAAAAAATTGAAACAGAAATTAGTATACAATGATTAAACTGATTATATCAAATGTGTATTATGGATACCACAATTCACCAAGAATGGAGTATAATCTTTTTCAGCCTACCAGATAGTAATAGATACTATGCTAGAAAGGAGCAGGTTAGATTCTTCATGTAAACAAATTTCAAAAGCCCTGGATTTAACAAAGCACAACTGTTTTCTTTACTCCAAAAGTTCTCAGCTTTTTTATTTGTTTATTTATTTATTTATTTATTTTTAGAGACAGGGTCACCGAGGCTGGAATGCAGTGGCGTGATTATAGCTTACTATAACCTTACTATAACCTATAGCTTGCTATAATCCTGGGCTCAAGTGATCCTCCTGCCTCAGCCTCCTGAGCAACTGGCACCATGGGCACATGCCAGTATGGCTGGCTAATTTTAATTTTTTTTTTTTTTTTTTGTGGAGATGGGGTCATGCTTTGTTGCCCAGTCTGGTCTTGAACTCCTGGCCTCAAGTGATCAGCACTCCTTTTCCTCCCAAAATGTTGGAATTACAGGCATGATCCACTGTGCCTGGCTCAGTTTTAAAATATGCTCATGTGTAGTATAAGTCCGCATTAGGGGGACTGATACAGTTTGGCTCTGTGTCCTCATTCGAATATCATCTTGAATTATAATCCCCATGTGTCAAATGAGGGACCTGGTGGGAGGTGATTGGATCACAGGGATGGATTTCCCCTTGGCTGTTCTCATGATAGTAAGTGAGTCCTCATGCAATCTGGTTGTTTGGTAAGTGTCTGGTGCTTCCTCCTTCGCACTCTCTCCTGCCACCATGTAAGAGGTGCCTTGCTTCCCCTTCCCCTTCTGCCATGATTGTAAATCTCCTGAGGCCTCCCCAGCCATGCCGAACTGTGAGTCAATTAAACCTCTTTTGTTTATAAATTACCCAGTCTCAAGTGGTATCTCTGTAGCAGTGTGAGAATGGACTAATACAGAGACAGAGCTAGCCTTGCCACCACTACCTATACAACCTGCTTCATCAGAATGAACTCATGGAACACGTTTTAAGTATTATTAATTTCTGTTCAATGTCCAAATTTTTATTAGGAAAAATAACTTGCTAGATCAAAATGTGTTGTTAATAGATCAAAATTTCTTAAAAATTGTATGTGATTTTTAAGTTTTAAGAAATTGCTGAAAACTTAGAAATGTATAATGGCATACATGCCATAGAATTTAAGATGTTGGCATATTGTTATGGGCTGAATGTGTGTGTCCCCACACAATTCATATGTTGAAGTCCCAACCTCAATGTGTATTATGGCCGCTGCAATTCACAAAGAAGAGAGTGTGATCTCATGGCAAACCAGATCGTAATAGATATTATGCTAAAAAGGAGGGGTTTAGGTTCTTCATTTAAACAAATTTGAAAAGCCCTGGAGTTAACAAAGTGAAATTGTAATGCAGTTTGATGGCATTAGGAAGTGTGGCCTTTGGGAGGTAGTTGGGCATAGATGAGGTCATGATGGTGGAGTTCTCATGATGGGATTAGTGTCTTTACAAGAAAAGGAAGAGCTACCAGCACTTACTCTCTCCTCTGTGTGAGGATGCAGCAAGAAGGCAGCTGTCTGCAAGCCAAGAACACAGCCCTCACCAATACCAGCCCATGCTGGCACCCTATCTTGGATTTCCCAGCTTCTGGAACATGAAGAAATAAAATGTTTAAGTCACCCAGTTTACATTGTTTTGTTATAGAAGCCCCAGTAGCCTGAGACACATATTGTTACATTTGTTTCAAATACTTTTCTTGAATAAAGAACACTTCAAGAACTACAGTTTCAGCTGTTTAACCCTATGTGCTTTCGACTATAGTAATTGTGGCATGTATCATTCCAGTTCATTTTTCTACTTTAATATACATGAATATGAAATTGTATTTTTCACATTTATTAATGTAATTCTACCTAATACATTTTTCTGTGACTTAGTTTTTTAAAAAATGCTACATTTTAACTTTAATCCATATGGATAATTATGTATTTTCTCCATTTTAATGGCTGAGAAATTCTAATATAATAAATTTTCCTTATTTATTATTTTCCAAATTTTTGACAACAAAATCAATGCCATAGTGAAAATCATTGCATATTTCTCCTTGTGTATGTGTGCAAGTGTTTCTTTTTTTTATATTTTTATTTTTACAGACAGGGTCTTACTCTATGTCCCAGGCTGGAGTGCAGTGGCACAATCATAGCTCACTGCAACCTCGAATTCCTGGGCTCAAGAGAGCCTCCTGCTTCAGCTTCTGGAGTAGCTAGAATCACAGGCACATGTAACCATACCTGGATAAAGAAAAAAGTTTTTTTTTGTAGAGATGGAATTCGCTTCGTTGCTGAGGCTAGTTTCAAACTCCTGACCTCAAATGGTCCTCACCCCTCAGCCTCCAAAAATTCTGGGTTATAGATATGAGCCATTGTGCCCAGCTAAGTATAATTTTTGATTTATTATTTTAAAAAATTTACTTGATGCTTTCTATGGGTCTCCAAAAGTATCTGAAAAAAAAAAAAATACATACACACACACACACACACACATATCCCCCCCCACACTATAAAAGAATAAGAGAGGATCACTCCCCCTTGTCTTCACCAACACCTAACAGATCAGTTTGGGGAGACTTAACATCTTTATCATAACCATATTATAATTTAGAAACATGGCATATCTCTTCATTTATTTATTTATAAAAATTTTCTCAATACAGTTTTAGTGTTTTTATTTTTATATGGGTATTGTCTTAGATTTCTTAATTTTTGACAGTATAATAGGTCAAAAGTGACACTTATAACGAATTTTCTAAGATTCCCTAATAACTATGTGACTATCTTTTTATGTTTGTTGCTGTTAGAATTACTTCTATGTGTTGTCTTATTCTTATTAATATGTTGGTATTATTAAATATTTATTGTAAATTCTCCCAAGGTATGCCTTATCCTTTAACTTTGTTTTAGTTGTGCCTTTACTTACATGGAAGTCTTAAAAATTGTTATAGTTATTATGTTTTTAAGATTCATTAATGTTGTTGAGTGTAACTATGGCATTTTTATTGCTTGTTTTTCATTTCACTGTTGCATTTTATTAACATACTGCAAATTATCCATTAATTCTGTTAATTTTGGACATTTCAATTATTTTCAGTTTATGGTTATTATGAACAATGTTTCATACATTCCCGTATGGGCCATTCGCTTCGTTGCTGAGGCTAGTTTCAAACTCCTGACCTCAAATGGTCCTCACCCCTCAGCCTCCAAAAATTCTGGGTTATAGATGTGAGCCATTGTGCCCAGCTAAGAATAATTTTTGATTTATTATTTTAAAAAATTTACTTGATGCTTTCTATGGGTCTCCAAAAGTATCTGAAAAAAAAAATACACACACACACACAGACACAGACATCTTAATGTACAGACTTATGAGTGGAATTGCTGGGTCAGAGGATATGTATATAAAATGTAGTGACTGGAACATAGTAATTTTTATGAAGTCAGATATCTCAATCTTTTAGGATTAGCCTTTTTTTCCCCTGTATTTTGGTTAAAAAAATCTTTCCCAACCACAAGATCGTGTAGATAGTCTTGTATATTATTTTCTAAAAACCTTATTGTTTTCTCTTTCATGTCTGTAATCTATGTGGAAATTTTTATAAATAATATTAAACACAAGTCTGATTTTCTTTTTAAAATGTGCATAGTCAATTCATCAATACCACAAAAGGAAAAAATCCTTTCTCCACTATTTCAGTAGTACAACTATTGCATAACTCATGCGTTCACATGTAATTGATATGCTTATCTGCTCTATATTCTGCTTCACTGGCCCATTTGTCTAATTCCACACCAACATCACACGGCCTTAATTACTATGGTTTGGTAATAACATTTAATAGTCAATATGATAGATTTTTCCAAACTTGTTTTTCTTGAGTGGTATCTTGCACATTAATTTTGAAACCAGCTTGTCATAATTTTTCTTTTCAAAAAATTGCAGGGAGTTTTTAATTGGATTTTTCAGAATCTATAGATCAATTTGGGGAGAAAACATCTTTTTCATAACCATATTC